ATCCTAAAGACGCTCAAGTGAATGTTGTCAAAATCGCAAGTGTGCATATTTTCGTACAGTGACGTAAACATTGCTACAATCAAAGACGCGCTGAACAGAAAGTCCATTCTGTGTACCATTGTCAAATTTTGGGGAGTAGAGGACTATTTATATGGGAGACGTTACAATACGGAACTATTTAAATTGTTCGATTTGCATATAAAAATCATTTATTGGAACAGAGCATATTCCATATTCACCAAAAAACAAAGTTGTTATGTTTCTAGACACACAACAGACTTGAAACAATAGAAACCGTCCGATCCGAGCGACCTGCATTCTTGAAAATCGAGTCTCATCGCCCCTGCGTTTCCGAGCAAAAAAACGTTGAGGCCAAAAACGATCGATTTTCGCCCAATCTTCTATGAACTTTTCATAATATAGCTAATTTAGTCCAGCGGTTAGATAGGGTATTTATTAGAGACGCCCGGAGAACCAAAATTTAGGACGTGAATCACTCCGGCGACGAAAAACCAGCGAAAATAGCCAAGGGGGTGAGGGACTGCATTTCAAAAACATATTTTATATATAGGGAATATAAATAGCACAACACTCATCACAGACATCATTTAATCTACCCCGGTACCAAAAACATTAATAATTAATAATTTTAGAACAGGTTAGGTGCTTAAAACAATTACATTTGTGTTAGTGACCTTTATATTAAGAGCACTTTCGGTCAGTCCCCCAAAAATGTATGTGTAAATTGACTGAGATGTAATGACCACCTGTCTACTGTGTCCACCTTTGGGCAGTCCCAATGCAATTTACATGTAAGTGACCACCTGTCTATCATGATCAGTGACCACTTTTTGGCACCAGTTTAGTCAAATTTCATGATGATTGGTATACTTACCAATGGTGAATCCTCATAGACTATAATACCATCTTGTACATTGGGTTGAAGTGTTAGTGTTTGCACTGTAGTATCCCTAAGAAAAAAAATATCATACCATGTCACCAGCTCATCACATAAAATAGGCATTTATAATGTACAATGTAGAAACTAAAAACAGCAAGAAATATTTGTACATACACTGGTTTAAATATGAACACTGCTATATACATACCTGTGTAGCTGTAAATATTGCCTTGGTCTATTGAGTAAATGAAGAAATCTATCCACAATTTTATTCTTTCCAACTCCCTGATTTCCAACCAATAACAGATGTTCCCCAAGTAAGAAATCCTTCAACATATCCTCCATTATAGAAAGATGCTAAAAAAATATTTAATATTTTGTAAATTTAAATAAATGACATTATAATCAGGATTTCATTTTATCATAGCCCAACAAGTACTACAAGACTATTCCCACCTCAGACGTTTTTTTTTTTACCTGACTGAGGCTTCAAAATAAAAGTTGTACCCTAAATTTGTTGAATTTTAGGTGTTTTTTCTATAGCCCCACCACAGGTTGTGTGTCATCACAGTGTACATGTGTCACGTAATTCAAGGACACTGTACATTCATGCTGAAAAAAAACTATTCTCTATCAAACGTAAGCATCATACAAAAATGTACTTAGAACAATAGGCTTGAGGAAAAAATTTGATGTATAACTAAAAATACTCCCTAGTAACCTCTCAACCAACATTTTTACGTCTCTCTATCACCAAACGGTAAAGTCCACCATTTTTGTACATGTGCAGAAATAGCCTCTCTGTCTTGTCAGTTTTAAACAGACCTTAGCATAAGTGGACCCTTCAGTCATGATCAATAAATAAAATACACACCTGCGGATTTTCATAAAACAATACATCTGGAACCATCATTTTATTCTCTGGATCATACACAGATACACTGGTGTTGCCAACTCGAAGAATACCATCTTTTATTTCACCTGAAATCAAAGAAATCTTAGAAAAAACTCCTGTGTGCTGAGAGTATTGGAGACATCAAATACAAATATATACCTGTATATACATGTAATTACACATTTAAACAGCAAATCCAAAGAAAACAAAAGAAATTAATTAGTTGTACATCTGGGGTTTGTGGACTGTGGTTTATCCCAGATTACCTACATGTGTGTTTAATTCAAATTTGATAATTGGCAATTGAAATATCAACAAATTTATTAACTCATACAAATTAGGTAGTTATGATGTATGTATTTCAACCCTAAACAGGTCTGAGGATTATCACCTATGTACCAAGTTTCATACGAATTTGATGAGTGGTATCGCAGATGTCCCTGGAACACCTACATGTACAAGATGGCTAATTTTTGCAATAATAGAATTCAACACAATGAATGTGGCTGATGCACCCAATATAAATTAATTGACTAAATAACATACAAAATTCAACAAAGAACTAACCAAGTCTGGGGAATATTTCGGAGGTTCTATGTACCAAGTTTCAAATCTGACAAGTGGTTTTTGACATATCTGTCATAAATATACACACATACTGAGAGAATACCGGGTACATTACAGCAGTACATGTACTTACATGTGACAGCTTTTTCAATATCAACAGCGTTGCTCTGAAATGGCTTAATATGTGCATCTTGTAGTGACTTCTCTAATGATGTCCTTGCTAACTGTGGTAAGAATCTAGAAAACAAACACTGGATGTTTTTTATCATTATAACCTTAGACTTGTTGGCTGTATAAAGCAGAATGGACACCAGTACATGTATGTAACACAGGAAAACATAATACCTAACAATGTAGGAATGTTATACCAAGCACATATCATTAAAGCAGTAACATACAGTACCAACATAGTTGCATGATAGGACTATGATGTCAAATATGGTCAGTGTAAGTCAAAAGTACAATCTGATGTACAATGTATAGTTTTGAACAATCTGACACTTCCATCAGATTAAAGAACTCATGCATTTTTGACATGTTTTAATGCATATAGCATTATTTGATGTCAGAATCTGTCTATAATAAACTGCTTTTAAATTAGTATTAATCAATAGTTTATTTCATTCTGTCTGTCTGTGTTTTGAGAAAAACTGTCAAATAATATACATGTATGCATAAAATGGTAAATTACCAACGGTATTTATATACCACAATAAACAAATGTTGTCATTAAAAACCTACCATGAAATCTGTATTAGAAGCCGCATCACTAATAGAAGTCACACCGAATCTTTTTGAACAATTGAAAACCAAAAATTCATCATTTCTCATATGTGTAGATGCTCTAATAGAAGCCGCATCCCCTCTGTTGCACTGACCATTTTAATAGAAGCCATGGTTTCTAATACAGATTTTACAGTACTATAAATAATGTCAATATTGTAATACTTCTAGTCAACAACAAGGGCACTATATATCAATTTTTAACCATATGTCAGCGATCAAAATTTTGAGAAATTGAGAAATATCCTTACTACAGAACACAATCATGGTAAAATTCCTTCAATGAAAAGATTTTTTACTCTGTATTGTATACTAGCTTTCTCAGAGCAGAATACAGTTACCAAATATTGTAATTAATTGTCCTTGCAGCATGAAATGTCACATGTATAAAAAATATAGTTGTTTTTTAAGTATCTTATTTAGTGGAAACATCAAATGATTTACACAGATTAATACACAGCATAACATACCTTGATAGACAAGCCTTGTTGATTGCCTCATAGAGACTTTCATTGGGATACCTTGCCAATCTTTTTGCTATCCTCAACAGCTGTCTTGTTGATAATGATGATGATAATGATAACATCTGAAAAACACACAAAGTTAAAAACATATTTTACAGGAAAAACAAGCAGACATAACAGTATATATTTAACATAATTAACTAATTGTTATAATGGTTATTTCACTTAGACAACATGACCTCTGACCTCTGAGTCGGTTTTAACAGTAGGTTTCTCAGACAGACTTACCGTTGTATCACCTGAATGTCTGAGTCTATGTGTCAGTTTTAACAGTGGGTCCATTAAATCCTGTACTGTATTTGGCACCTGCAATGACACAAACAGGCATGTGCAACTTGGATGCAGAAAAAAACATTTTAGAAATGATTGTTGAATAATAATTGACTGATCATTGTGATCTCATAGTTTGTATTACTCTGTGCTGATTGGTTGAATCATATCTTACCATTCCTTGTATGACAGTCATTTCTTCTACATAAGACAAAGGTTTAATATGATGATAATGAAAGAGAGTTAATAATTCTGAGCTCAGCCATTGTTGCGTACTACTGCCAGTTACTGGTGGTTCAGCTAGTGCCAAGATACGAAAGGAAGGATGAATAGGGTACACCGACCTGAAATGAAAATCAAATTATCTTGATATACACTCTTAATTTGCTCTATTTAGACGCGCATAAAAATGATCAATGTCATTAATGGATTACTGAATCATTCAAATATTACTTTTTTGGATTATAGAAATGGCACTGAGATTTATGTGCGCGTGTGCTACTAATAGAGAGTTTTATGTTACTACCATTATTCACTTGGAGTCCTTATCAATTTAACACCATCACAATCGGCATGTCATATTTAATGGTGTGGTACATCATCATCCCTTTTAACACCTCTAGTTCATATTATCTTTTCTGACTTTTCATTGTATGTTCATTTCTCTTGTGCTTGTAAGCATTATAGTGTCACACAGAATTACATTTTGTGAAAGATAGATGGAGAAATGAACAAGTACAGGAAGGAATTGAATTATTACACAGGACTTGATACCATCCTGAAACTTCCAGTCCAGACATTACATCACAGACAATCAAAACACATTTACTCTACCTTTCATTCATTTGCTCATCTGTGATATCATAAGTCTTCTTTATCTCCTCATATCTATCATGTCTCACAAGTTTAGTACCATCAAATAAATTGAATTCTCTGTCATGGATTAATCTGAAAACAAACAACACTCTAGACTATTAACCATATGAGAGCAATCAGTTTTGGGGCCACATTTTTAACTGATTTCTGTATTTTTCTAACATTTCTTTTTTAATGCTGGCCAAATAGACACAATTTTATGTTGTCTAGAAGGATTCAGCAACACTTTTGAAACAAGTCATTGAAAATGACACAGTCCCCTTTAAGTTCTCTTTGTGCTCGTCATATTAAAGCGAAGGGGATGTCGCGAGCGTGTCCTTGAAACTTGAGTTCCAAGTGGCGTATACATCAGATTGTTTATTTACATCAAAACACGTGTTTCGTGTCATAGTAATA